ACTGGTGATGGTTTCTGGCATTCTGTCTCTGATCCTTTCAGTACGTTTTGACTGTCGCTGGCGGGGAGTTCAAGAACAGCAATAATACTCCCGTCGGCTCTTGCCAATCAGCTGCAGGAATGTGTCAGACAACCCAAGAATTAGTAAGGCCGGTGGTTAAAGATGGTGGTTTTCCTCCCAGTGAGACTTGAGTGCCTGCTTGACAAGGTCTGTAATGTGTCTTTGACAGATGCTTTTATTTCAGAGCGGAAGCACCTCGAGAGAGAGAGGTTTCTTTCGTCAGATTTGAATAAAGGGCATCAAGGATTATGGCCCATTCAGGTCACCTTCTGGCACTGAGAGTGGCCTAATGGATTCGGATTCTATTGCTGGTCCTTGTTCTTGGATAATCCCGTGGGAACGGTAGGGCAGCTGCCTCTGATGCGTGAGCTGGTGCTACGCCAAGAAGGAGGCAAGTGCCTTTGTAGGAAACGGATGATTAAACAATCTTTTCACAGGGAAAGGGACAAATCTCCCCTTTCTGCTTTCCACTGCGTGAGTTCTGAGTTGGCCAGGCCTGGATTTCTGCAGGTTCAACGATAGGGGTAAGACCTAGGGGTCGGGTGGCTTGGTGGATTCACCTTTGGCCTCTGCATAGCTGCTTTTGGATCTGGTGAGGGTTACAAGCCCTGATGAGTTTTGTGGCTCACTGTCAATTGAACGTGTGAACCCCTTCGGAGGCAGGAGCCCCCCAGCAGCCTCCCCCAGTCACAGAGATAGGTGCCTTGTGCACTTGTCTCCTCCAGTCTGAGCATGTTGAACATTAAGAGCCAGCCAGGCATCTGAGTCTGAGGCTGGCAAGTCAGGGAGCAGGACGAGCCCCGGGAGCTCCCAGGGCAGACGGGAGCAGAGCCAGTATAGGGTGAACAAAGGGACCCAGCACTTCACGGAGCAGATGGACCAGAAGCCGGAAGGTGATGTTCCCCAGGGCCGGGCAGTGGATCATGTGGGTAGTGGACTGGAGTAGGAAGTGACCAAGGAAGCTGAATACCACATGAAAACAGGTGAGCAGCCAAGACAACCTCATGGGGCCCTGAGTCGAAACCTGGTGGAGTAGAGAAGACTCACTTCAACCTGCAGGCAGCAACCACTAGGCAGGACTGCCACTATGTGGAACAGCCTCTATAGCGAACCATGATCATTAGACAGGAACCCCTTGCAACACCCCCCCCTCAACATAAGTGCCTTGTGGATCTGGGTCCATAGCACCAAACTGCCGTAGAACTAGATAAGAAAGGCCACTGTGAGCCTCCCAGTCCTGCCTGTGCTGCACTGGTATCCCTGCAAGCGGCGTTCCGTACTGCCATGGCAGCGCACTCACGCCCGCCCACGTTTCTTCCCCTCTTGACTCCTAGTGGGTGGTTTAATTACAATTTAAAGAATTCTTCAGAGAACAGTTTCTGACCCGGAGAGGGGCACTGCCTCCTAAAATGGCTCTGATCCAGGGCGTCAAGCTCCTAAAACTCTCCCAGCAAAGTTCTCTCTCCCTGACAGCAGAGGCGGTGGGGAGGGCGCATCGGTGCCATTCACACACAGCCCGGCACAGAGGAAGTGGCGGGAGAGACTCAAGTATCAGAGCTAAACCAGATGAGCCGTGCTACCCACTGAGCAGCTGCCAGGGACAAGCCCTGCATAGGAATGCGCTAACACGCCTGCCTGGCATGATTGTGTCCGCTTTAAGGTGTGTCTGTAGGATGCTGCCTCTTAATATGCAGATGCCCTGGGAGCAGCTGGGGTTAATGCAGCGCCACCAAGAAAATTTCCTGCCTGAAGTGGTAAAGCTCTTCCAGCCCTATGGCTGTGTCTAGACTGGCCAGTTTTTCCGGAAAATCAGCTGCTTGTCCGGAAAAACTTGCCAGCTGTCTACACTGGCAGCTCAAATTTCCGCAGGCAAAAGTCCTTTTGCGCAGTGACAGTGACAGTGGGGACCATTAGCACGGGGTCCCCTTCTCTCAGCCTAGTGTGACATCACTTTAATACAATTTAGATGGGATGTGACTCCAGGCTTTACAGTTAATGGCTGCAGCTCTCCACTCTGGCTACAGACGAAGGCTTTGGTTTAGGCCTTCCAATCTGGCTACAGGCCTTCCAACATGGTTACAGAAAAACCATGTTGTGCTTTATCAGGACGGATGATGCAGCAGCAATTTTTAAGGTCTCCCAATGCCGTTTTAGCACTTCTGTTGCATGTTCTGTCCCAGCACTACAGTTTCCCTGTGCGGGCTGCTGATCTGTCCTGGGATAATGACTGGGTAATTTGCATTGCTTCAGGGAGCAGCTTGAATGGCAAAGGAAACTAGTCATCCAGGACACTCCAGCTATGTGGTGGGACAATGGTCACTCTGGCAATCAATCCTCTGGGGTTTGATTTAGCAGGTCTAGTAAAGACCCTCTAATCGAATGCTGAGGGTGTCTCAGTTTCTGCTGGTACTCCTCGCTGTCGTGAAGAATAAGGGAAGTCAATGGGAGTATATCTCTCGTTGACCTCCTGCCATGGGGCTGTCCCAGAAAATCAGTGTAAGCTACGTTGACTCCTGCTAAGCAATTGGCATAGCTGGAGGTGCATCTCTTGCATTGATTTTTCTCCTCCAGTGTGCACCTGGCCTCAATCTGGAGCTTACAAAACAAGCTGGCAAGTTGAGTTCATTTTTGCTGGTAAGCAGAAGTTTGTCCTGACTCTCTGTTGAGTTTGTCTGAGCTGTGTTGGGTTGGCCACGGTATTCTGGGAAAGCATTAAACTGCAAGGCATCATTTGCATGCACTTAATGTGTCATTAGTTGGTTTGTCGGTGAGTTAGCTTATCTAGAAACTTTAGGAGTGGCCTTGTGATATTGCCTCCATTTGCCAGAACTGTTGGATTGTTCTTGATTCATGTAACCAATAAACCCCCAATAGGTGGGTAAATGCCCAGATCTGTGCACAGAGAGGAACTGTAACATTGCTAACAGCCCTTGGGGAGATATTTCAATCCTGAATGAAGGACTGTCATGAACAGGGTTTCAGGAAGATAATCTCTCCCCATCCAGCTAATTCTTCTGCTCTAAAGATTTGTCTGTTCCAAGTCCTAGAATTGGAGAGATGGCTCATAGAAGAAAAGGGTGTGAAAAGTTTATTAATGTAACATTTCCCCTTGGTTTTCTGGGAAAGGGGTAAAGCGTATGCAGCAACCTTATTGTTTTAATGAAAGTGAAGGTTTCCTAGTTTTAAATACTGTTTGGCTACGTCTACACTGGCATGATTTTCCGGAAATGCTTTTAACGTTAAAAGCATTTTCGGTAAAGCGTGTCTAGATTGGCAGGACGCTTTTCCGCAAAAGCACTTTTTGTGGAAAAGCATCCGTGGCCAATCTAGATGCGCTTTTCCGCAAAAAAGCCCCGATCACCATTTTCGCATTCGGGGCTTTTTTGCAGAAAACAAATCTCTGCTGTCTACACTGGCCCTTTTGCGTAAAAGCTTTTCGGAAAAAGACTTTTGCCCAACGGGAGCAGCATCGTATTTCTGCAAAAGCACTGACAATTTTACATGAGATCGTCAGTGCTTTTGCAGAAATTCAAGCGGCCAGTGTAGACAGCTGGCAAGTTTTTCCGCTAAAGCAGATGATTTTGCGGAAAAACTTGTCAGTCTAGACACAGCCTTTACGTTTGAATTGGCCTGGCTGCACCTAATAGCTCAGTCTTCAAAAAAAGAGAAATTCTACTTTGTATCTTGGCGAGCTGGTAGTCAGCACGAAAAGCAGTCATTGAATTCTGTCTCTGCAAATAAGCAGCTAATAAGAAAATCTTTTTTCCATTAAACCCCTCCCCCCATAATATATTTTGAAAACCTCTATTCCTCCTTCAAGTTCCAATGCCCTATAAACTATTTATCGAGCAAATGAATGCTAGCATTCGAAGCCATTTCCATGAAAACAGTATTGGCACTCTCATTTATGTATTTATAAAACATTAATAATCAAACCCATGACTGCACCATCGCAGTTGCAATTGGTTCCAATTATGCTCAATGTGGGGTTTGCAGTACTCGGGAGTGAAGTCATTTCTTTTACATTGTCTTATGATTGTCATAATCATTCCAAACAGGCATGGCGATTGTAATTGAATAGCCCAAGCGAAGATGCTTGTTTCAGGCCTGTCAATAAACAGCTGTTGATGGCCTCTCGGGAAATGCTGTAGATGTAAAAAGTCAATAAACTGATCGTGCTTCCTACCTGTCTTTAAGTGTCGCTGGCAGGAGAGATGAGAGCTGGCGTAACACAATCAGCAAAACCCACCTCAAAGTGCTGGATCAAAAGCAGTATTGTTCCCTCTCTGCTTTTACCCAGCAGTGGCATCTGTAATTGGTTTCATTGGGGAATGAGAATTTTAATGGTGTGGAGTTTTTATGTGAGGGTTTATTTCCCTGCCTGGTGATACCCTCATCGCCATGACAGCAAAGAACAATGGTGGCACATTTGGAAGCCAGAAAGGCCTCGTGATGACTCCAGGTTTGAAAGCTGGGCATTTGGTGCCTAGCTCCCACGGGCTGGGTATGTTCTTCTGGGCAGCCCGTGACCACTTCAGAAATTTGTGAAGTGGCTCCCCTTCAAAAATGATTGCCCACACCTGTCTTAGAGTGCTCAGCTGAGATTGGGGGCCCACATGTGCGAATTGCACACCTAGCAATAGTTAGAGTACTCAGCTGAGATTGGGGGCCCACATGTGCGAATTGCACACCTAGCAATAGACACTCCAAATGAACTGACCGTCAAAATAGACAAAGGGTAGAGGAACAGGGTTATTGCCGATTATAGAGGAGGAGCTTTGCCACAGAGAAACTAAGCAACTATCCAAATTCATACCGGGAGTCTAGATTAGTAAAAATCAATCCATCTTCCCCTGCTGTGCTTGCAGCCCAGATGTTGTGGCCTGTTGGTAGTGGACAAGACCCAGTACGTGGAATGGAGGTGGAAGTGACACATCTGAAGCGAATTGCTTCTTTTAAAACAGTGGGGATAAGTCAACTGGACAGTGAAAAATGATTTTTCTTGTAAATTCCATGCTTAAAACAGCAACGCTTTCTCTCTCCACAGTTCTGAACACAGAGTGCTTTGGTGGGGTTAGGCATTGGAGGCAGGAGATGGCTTAATACAGTGTTTCTCAACCAGTGGTACGAGTACCCTAGGGGTACTGGAGAGACGTCTTGGGGGTAAGTCAACACAACTGAAATTTGGAGAGAACTGAAATTTTGTTTTAAGTTTTACAGTGTTTGATAATTTTTGTATTTTTTACACCCAAACATTTCATCACCCGCCTGGCTACGATTAAGTTGTTTAAACAAATGTGTTGTAATGGTAGAAAAAATATTGTGTGTGTCTGAAAACTGGAAGTACTTACAATTTTTTTTTAAAGGGGTACTTTATTAAAAAAAAGGTTACGAAACTCTGGCTTAATACGCTGAATTTCTTTCTCTTAATGCCTTTAGAATGATTTTTAATGCAAATGGAACACTTTTCAAAAAATATTTAATACAAAGCGCTGCCACGTGAAAGACAAGTAAATGTGACATTTGTACCATGCAAAGGAGACATTTCTTCTGTTTAGTGCATGGTTAGGGCTGAGCTAAAACCGTGTTTTTATAATCTCTATAGTAGGGATGTCAGTAGGGATGTCAGCATGTGGATGACCACATGATTAACCGATAAGCCTGGGCTTACAAGCATCCCCCTGCCTTGCTTAAAAGCTGTCTCCCCACGAGCACTGGATTTGCCTGCCTACATCCCACCCACGTGTTGCTGCCACCGGTCCGTGGGTTAGCATGGGGCTCCCGCCCCTACGGACTATCGAATAGTCGTGCAACCACTAAGATTCCATGCGGTTACACAGCTATTCAATTACACGACATCTTAACACCTCTACTCTATAGCATGCACTTTGCATACAGGGTTCATGAGACTAGAGAATCTCTCCTGTATCTTTGGTAGTGGTTGTGACTCCTTGGCTACGTCTACACTGGCATGATTTTCCGTAAATGCTTTTAACGGAAAAGTTTTCCATTAAAAGTATTTTTGGAAAAACACGTCTAGATTGGCAGGATGCTTTTCCACGAAAGCACTTTTTGTGGAAAAGCATCCGTGGCCAATCTAGACGCGGTTTTCCGCAAATCGCAATTTTCGCGATTGGGGCTTTTTTGCGGAAAACAGTACTATACTGTCTACGCAGGCCCTTTTGCGCAAAAGTCTTTCTAAAAAAGACTTTTGCCCGAATGGGAGCAGCATAGTATTTCCGGAAAAGCACTGATGATTTTACATGAGATTCAGTGCTTTTCCGGAAATTCAAGCGGCCAGTGTAGACAGCTGGCAAGTTTTTCCGCAAAAGCAGATGATTTTGCGGAAAAACTTGCAAGTCTACACACAGCCCTTGAGTTGAATGACAGCTTTGACAACTAGTTACTGCTTGACAAAGGCTATTTCAGCTCTCTGCTCATTCAGCTTCGGAAATACATCGCTGAATATAATTTACACTGAAAGAGTGCTAGCATGGGAGAAATGTGCTGTCTTTCCAAGGCTGCCAAACTCTTAAGATGAGTTTTCCCTGATGGTCTGTCTCCTTTCCGAGAGATCCGTGTGCCAAAAAAGCAGCCCATCTAGCGATATGCAGTGAGAGTTTTCTACTTCTTGTCAATTTCCACAATGTACCAAACATCCCCTTTGCATCCTCATTTCCCCCTCATTGCCATCCCATATGCTATGAAATCCATCTTCCTTATTTCAATACAGGATCATTTCTTTTATTAAGTTAAAAATATTAATTTAAATGAGTTTTGTTGATTAAAATAATACCACCTCGCTCTTTTATAAAGGGCGTTCCATCAACAGATCTCAAAGAACATTAGAGAGGAAACCGAGGCATGAAAAAGTTTAAGTAAAATGCCCATGGTCACAAACAGAGATGGTGAGAGACATTATACTTATCTAAATACTTGTCTGGATCTGACCACTAGGGCACACTGCCTGCGTTATAGATGCACTAGCAATAGTGATGGTGATATACCCAGCATATGTTAAACTGAACATTACATTTCCTTTGGAAAACTTCAGAAGATTGTGTAGGGGAATTGTTGCAAGAGAAGAATGGTCTTGTTAGAATCATATGATCATAGAACACTAGAACTGGAAGGGACCTTGAGAAGGTATCGAGTCCAGTCCCCTGCCCTCACGGCAGGGCCAAGCATCGTCTAGATCAGTAGTTCCCAAACTTTTTTGGCATCGCACCACTTTTTTGATATTTGAGAAACCCTCGTGCCCCCACCCCTCCCCCCAAAAAGTAGCAGTAAAACTACTGTAGTCTAGACGTACCCTGGTAGTTCGGAAGCACCACTGTCACAGGAGCATAACTTCTGGGGAGTTGCAGAGCTACACGAAGTCTGCCATTAGATTATTTCAAAAGAATCTGAAAAGTGAAGGATTGGATGGGAAGAGGTTCCTTAAATCAAGGGTCTTTACTTTGTGCTCGGAAGATGGGCTGGGCAGGTATTTGGTGATACTGTTTGGTGGTTTCTCATCAGCTTCTGCAGAGTGTAAGCATCCCTTTTCAAAACCGAGGGTTCCAACATACCTGTCTGCTTTCTAGAGTCTGCAAAAAGATATGGGAATGCCAAGAGACAAATGAAGTGCCCTACTTGGCTAATGGAGTTAATGGTGATGCCGAATACCAGTAGTTCTAAGGTTAACTCTTCCACTATTGATCATCTTAATAGAGATGTCAGACTACATCAACACTGGGAGCGGGTCTTGGTTTTTTCCTTCATCCCAGTCCCTGTCCCATCACTTCTGCCATGAGCTCTGTGGTTTGGGATGTTAAAGATTGTTCACTCCTAGCAAATGTCACACCCGTTCTGTTTTCCTTTTCAAATTGCCAAGCTTGCTTTTAGGAGACTTCTTTCTGGACAGAAAGGCCTGAAGATTCCAACAGAGCCGTCGTGCGTTGCTTCGCTGATCCTGGACCCAACACTGACCCATGGTAATGCAGAAGATCAACAGCTGTAAGACCCTTTAAGGATGGAAACGGCGTGGTTTTCAGGGTCTCAGCCCCTCCCTTACATTTATTTTTGCCCACAGTATGAAAATAGTCGAGAGTTCTTCAGCCCCATGAGACCACATTTAGTTTTAAGCCCTTCCTGCCTTGTTCCTTCATCCTTAGTTCTGAAACCTGGGAATGTGTGTGTAGGTGACAGCTGCTGCAGCCAATGGGTATCCACTGGGGGGTGGTTGTGGTGGAGGGAGGAGTTTCTATGGTGTCACACATGATCACTGTGGAAGCATTTGACCTGGATGCCAACAAGCGGAGGTAAATCGATGCCCCATTGATTATTTAAATGCGCAATTAACTTGCACACCATTCAATTGCATTTACTGCATTACTCTGAAAAGCTCTTGGGTTAATGGCCTGCTAACCCACAGATTAACTACAGCCTGAAGATGACCTAACATTAGCTCCAAACCAACCACTGGGAGCGGGACTGGATCCACAGATGATTTCAGCACAGAATCCTAGAACTGGAAGGGACCTCAAGAGCTAAACTAACCAATGGGAGTGGGACTGGATCCACAGATGATTTCAGAACAGAATCCTAGAACTGGAAGGGACCTCAAGAGCTCCAGTCTGGACCCCTGGCCCTCCTAGCAGAACCAAGCAACATCTAGACCATCCCTTACAGGTGTCTGTCCAACCTGCTCTTAAATCCCCACTGCCGCTTTGCTCCCCGTGTCCCTGTTTCACCACCTTGAGAGTTAGGAAGTTTTTCCTAATGTCCAACCTAAACCTCCCTTGCTGCAGTTTAAGCCCATTGCCTCTTGACCCATCCTCAGGGTACAATTAGACGTTAAGGAGAACAATTTTTCTCCCTCTTTTTTGTACCACTATCCATTAGTTCTTTTCCTATCATTAGACATTAAGGAGAACAATTTTTCTCTCTCTTTTTTTGTAACCACTTTTTAGGAACTTGAGAACTGTTATGTTCCCTCTGTCATATCTTTTCTAGACTAAAGAAACCCAATTTGTTCAATTTTCCCTCATTAGTCAATTTTGTTGCTCTTCTTTGGACCGTCTCCAATTTCACTACTTCTTTCCTGAAATGTGGTGTCCAGAACTGGATACAATACTCCAGATGAGGCATAATCAGCATGGAATAGTGTGGAAGAATGACTTCTTGTTTCTTTATAATCAGCATGTAATAGTGTGGAAGAATGACTTCTTGTTTCTTTCTTACAGTACTTTTGCTAATGCATCGTGGAATGATGCTTGGTTTTTTTGCAACAGTGTTACGCTGCTGGTTCATATTTAGCTTGTCCACTATGACCTTCAGATCTTTCTGCGGTGCTTCTTCCTAGGCAGTCACTTCCCATTCTGCATGTGTGCATCTGATCTGCCCTTTCTAAGTGGAGAACTTTGCATTTGTCCTTATTGAAGGTCATCCTCAGACCATTTCTCCAGTTTGTCCAGATCATTTTGAATTTTCATCCTACCCTCTAAAGCACTTACAACCTGTCCCAGCTTAGTATCATCCACAGACTTTGTAAATGTACTTTTTATGCCATTATCTAAATCATTGATGGAAATAGCGCACTGAATCTGACCCAGAAACTGATTTTTGTGGAACTCTGCTCGTGCCCTTTCAGCATGACTGTGAACTACTGATCACTGAATCTGACCCAGAAACTGATTGTTGTGGAACTCTGCTCATGCCCTTCCAGCATGACTATGAATTACTGATAACTACCCTCTGGCAATGGTTATCCAACCAGTTACACACCCACCTTTATAGTGGCTCCATCGTAGGTTGTATTTCTCTAGTTTGTTAATAAGAAGGTCACATGAGACTATATCAAAAGCCTTACTAAAGTCTAGACCTATCATATCTACCACTTCCCTCCATATCCAGAAGGCTTGCTACCTTGTCAAAGAAAACTCTTGGGTTGGTTTGAGAACATTCGTTCTTGACCAATCCATGTGGATTATTACTTGTCACCTTTATTATCTTCTAAATCAGTGTTTCTCAATCAGTGGTACGAGTACCCTTAGGGGTACATGAGAGAAATCTTGGGGATTACATCAACAGAACTGAAATTTTGGAGAGAACTGAATTTTTGTGTTACGTTTTACAGTGCTTTATTATTTTTGTACGTTTTACACGCAAAAATGTTATCGCCCACCCGGCTGTGATTGTTGTTTAAAGCATTGTTGTTGCAATGGTAGAAAACAATTTGGTGTGTCTGAAAATGGTGGGTACTGGCAGTATATATACATTATTTTTGAAAAGGGGGTACTTTATTAAAAATAAGATTTAGAAACACTGTTCTAGATGTTTGCAAAAGGATTCCTTAATTATTTGCTCCATTATATTTCTTGGTGCAGATGTTAAGATGACTGGTTTATAATTCCCTGGATTGTCCTTATTTCCAGGGAATTATAAAAGAGCGCTATATTTGCTCTTTTTCCAGTCGTCTGGAATCTCTCCCATCTTCCACGGATTTTTCAAACATAATAGCTAATGGCTCAGAATTCTCTTCAGTCAGTTCCTTTGAGTATTCTAGGAAGCATTTAATCATGCCCTGGTAGCTTGAAGACATCTAACTTGTCTAAGTAATTCCCAACTTGCGCTTTTCCTATTTGAGCCTCATTTGTACGGATGTTGACTGTGTTAGTCATCTAATCACTGGCAACTTTTCTGTGAAACCAACGAAGGCATTTAACACCTCTCCCTTTTCCATATTTTCTGTTATTGTTTTTCCCTCTTCATTGAATATCCGTCCTATCCAGTCCTTTGTCATCCTCTTGCTTCTAATGTTTAGAATATGTTCTTGTTTCTCTGTATGTCGCTAGCTAGTTTGATTTCATTTTGTGCCTTAGGCTTTCTAATTTTGTCCCTATATACTTGTATTATTTGTTTTATAGTCTTTCTTTGTAATGTGACCTAGTTTCCACTTTTTGTAGGACTCCTTTTTCATTTTTAGATTGTTCAGTATTTTCTGGTTAAGCCAAGGTGGTCTCTTGCTGCATTTTGTATGTTTCCTCTGTAGTGTTTGTTCTTGTGCTCTTAAAGCCTCTGAAAAACTGCCAACTGTCTTCAATTACTTTTCCTCTCAGATTTTCTTCCCCTGGGATCTTATTTACTCAGTTCCCTGAGATTGCTAAAGTCTGCCTACTTGAAATCTATTGCCTTTATTTTGCTGTGCTCCTCTCTACCATTCCTTTGAATCGTGAATTCTACCATTTCATGACCACTTTCACCCTAGCTGCCTTTCACTTTGAAAGTCTCAATCAATCCCTCCCTGTCAAAATCAAATCTTGTACAGTCTCTTCCCTAGTAGCTTTCTCCACCTCTTGAAATTAAAATCGTTTCCAGTATGTTCCAAGAACTTGGTGGATCATCTATGCCCCTGCTATGTTGTTTTTCCCAACGGATGTCTGGATAGCTGAAATCCCTCATCACCACCAAGTCCTGTGCTTTGGATGATTTTGGGAGTTGTTTTTTAAAAAAAGCGTCATCCACCTCTTCTCCCTGGTTTGGTGGTCTGTAGTAGCCACTTACCTTGCAGGGAAGGGATGGTTTGGAAATTCACGTTGTAAAGCATGGGCTTAGGGAAGCAGAAGAGAACTTCTTCGATTGTAGTTGTGCTTGTTAGTGAGCTGAGACCCAAAGCCCCATTGTGCCCAGCTAAGGGACGTTCCACTGGTCTTTCCCTCCAGCAAAGCCTCAGAGATCATGCAACGCTTTGTACGGTCATTAGAGCCAAGAGCTCACGTGCCCTCCACCACTTTGCAAGATGGTGGTGTTGGAACAGACACCGTGTATGAAGCAAGCAGAAGGGTTTATTAACACACAGCGCTGGTGGAGTGTCACTTCGCTTGTTAGGCTTGGTGAACACTGCCAGACAATAAGTTACAATGGATTATATAAGATGCTGATGGGCAGATGAAGTGATGGGGGGGGGGAAGATCCCAGACCCCCTGGATAAGTGCTAACCATGAGGCAAAATAAAAGCAATAATCAGGTTGCGTAGTGTTTTCCGCTTATAGCTTACAGCAGGGGTCTCCAGCCTTTTTAAGCACAAGATCACTTTTTGAATTTGAGTGCTACCTCAGATCAAATACCCTCGGCCCGCCTCCTTTGTGACCCTTTTCTGAGGCCCCGCCCCTACTCACTCCTGTCCTCCCTCCCCCCATCCTCCCTCTCTTTCACCAGGCAGGGGCAGAGGGTTGGGACAGAGGCTCTGGTCTTGGGCTAAGGGATCTGGAATGTACAAGAGGCTCTAAGTGGAGCCTGGGGCAGGGGGTTGGGGTGCGGGGG